ATAACCTGTAACGCAGCTATTTAATGGACCATAACCTATCAGACAATAATATTTTTAATTATAAGCTGATAACAACTTTTAAATATGTTAATATGATTTCAAGATTACGCACAAAACCTACTGTTTATTAAGCGCACACATAGTAAACAAATAACTGACACATAAAAGGAATAGTTTGTGTAGCAATAAGATATTTTGTTACGTAATTAAGTAATTTAAAATATTAATTACATATTATAAAGAGATTTAGAAAACATTGTTTATTCTAGATTTTTCTATGCATATATTTCGTTTTTAATAAATCGTTAAAACCCGGACATGACATTTCACAGCTGACACACGGACCGCTGACAAATTTTTAAGTCAAATCAACCATATCGTACCTTGATTGAAAGCGGAACAATAAATTTGATGCTGTATTTCGACAATATAGTTCCTCTGGATGTCACTAAAGATAATAACAAATTTGTGAAAATACAGGTGGTAAGTAATAAGAAATTCGATTCTCGTCAAATTGTCACTTCATCATCATATGTTTTGATATTCCGGAACACGTATATTTAGTCCCTAGCTTCGACAAATAACCAACTTTATAACACTCGAAAATTTTATAAACTGCTGACTCTGAAAATCTCTATTCCATTCCAATTTTTAATTGGAGCTTTATTGTTGAACAACTACATAATGGTACTACAATTTAATTACCAATGCAATAATTTTAAATCCACAAGTGAAATATCGCGAAATAAAAATATCTACTGATTTAAAATATATCACGTACCTCAAATTTTTGTATTATAACTCAATTCTGTTTATGATAGGAGCCCCTTACAATTGCAATTGTGTCTTTGTTGTAGCTGTTATGAGACACCAGATAAAATAATAAAATCGAATTTCTGATGTAAATAATGATCATGGAAAGAACAAAAAAATGCTGAAGTTTGAATTACTGACGGTGATTCTTATTGCTCATCTCTATCATACTGCACTCGCAAGTAGAGAGTTGCTAACGCTACGCACCGCTAGCATCGTGCCGGTGGATGATGGTGGGGAATTGTTCCCCGGTTTCCCGGGAAACAATTGTAGACAGTCTATTGTGTTATTATATTCAATTGCATTCGTACATTTTTGAAAATATTATGTACTTTCATGTATTACAAGAACATTATTATGTATATGTATTAGATATATTTTTGTATATTTTTATACAGATATATACTGTTGGTGGATACCGAAATGCGCTTATGATTTAACATATAATAGATACAACAAAACTGTAACTGTAATACATTTACAAAACATATTTCAGCTTCCAACGAGTTAATAATACTGCTGAAAATTATGAATTCGCCAGTATCACCACAAACGCCACTCAGTTATGAATTAAAAGCAATTATAAATAACAGAAATGTATTAAGTATGAAAAGTCGAATGAAAGGTATGGTACATAATTTACTCATCTATCATAATTTTGAAACATGAAATTTAATATATATGTTTCCAGTACTTAACAGTCTAAACGAATGTAATCAGAAGTATTTAGAAGAAAAGGAAAAGAATTTGAGGTTTCAAGCAATTCAAGAAATTTTAACAACGGAAGTTACTTATTTACGCCAATTAGAAATATTAATGGAGGTTTGATTTATTTGTATTTATACATATTGAAAAATCCTTACAATTATTTATATGATCTAATTAAAGTTATATTCTTTTAGTTCTTTGTACAACCCATGATGAAAAAAAAGTTGTTAGACCACATTTTACTTTCAACATTATCTGAAAATATAAAAACATTATATAATGTAAGTGGAGAACTAGTAAAGGAATTAAAGCAAGACCCACAGAATATTGCTGGTGCATTTCATAAACTTGCACCATTTTTTAAACTATATTCTGTTTATGCTTACGATTTCGAACAAATTTTATCTTTATTACAGGTAATGTGTTAATTGTAATTTATTTTATTATAGATTATTTTTATATACACTATATTGTCTAAGTGATATCTTTTTTAGACAAAACAGGAGAATGACAGTGCATTCAAAGATTTTATTAGTAAACAAGAATCAAGACCAGAAGTTGGTAGAAAATTACCTTCATTATTAATTACACCAATACAAAGGGTACCTAGATATAAACT